CTCACTTTCATGTTGTCTTGCCCAAGCACTCAGCTCAGTTTTCTTAGAAACAACTCTTTTTCTATCCACACCCATACTTCATCAGTTTAGGCTTTATTTAATTAGATTAGGTCATTAAAATAACAAGTATAACAGGCATCATCAAGTCGGTGAGCAGTAGATGGCTTGTGAATATCCACTTCATTGGGCAAGCACAGCAATGGCTGAGCCTGTCAGCCAGTGTTGAGTAAGACAACCGTGTCAGCGAAGAGGATTCACAGAGGGCACAGAGAGCATGACCTGGGGACTCAGTCAACAGGAGTTGGGTTTGGAAGGCATTCCTGTGTTTCTTATTGTTTTGACTTTTGAACACTAAATTATTCTAGGCATAGCACCGAAATAACTTGATTACTTCACTGAAGGCCTTTGTCCAAATGGGGTCATATTCAGAGCTACTGGAGGTTAGGACTTCAACATATGAATTTGGGGGATAGGAATTAACCCATCACATTCAGGATCAGAATGGAAAGAACTTATAAATGCAGACATAATGGGACCTTGCTATTGACTACCTGTGTCGTTTTATAGAACTTAAGCTTATAAATCCCCCTTTGAGTATAAAATGGAAAGAATGGGAAAATCGTTTAAAAGAATAAATGTTACATGTATATAAAGTTCCTGGAACGTGGTAAGTACTCTGGACACGTTAGGTCCTTCCTTCTTTTAAGCCTATTAAGATTACTCAGAAAGTCTTCGCTGCTTTTTCAAATCCAGGTGCCCTCTCTGTTATAGCTCCAGGTTTGTTCATGGCTTGGGAGATCAGACAGTAACTTCCCCACATTTGTGTCTTATGTTCAGTTTGTTTTGACTCCAATGGAAGTTGCCATTGAAGACATGAAGAAGAAGACCCTGCAGTTAGCAGTGGCCATTAACCAGGAGCCCCCTGATGCGAAGATGCTTCAGATGGTGCTACAAGGCTCTGTAGGAGCCACTGTAAATCAGGTAACAAGCGAGCTCCGCGGCAGCTTCTCTAGTTCTCAGTGTTTGGGTTGTGATGTCTACCTCCTTCCTTGGGGTTGATAAGTCTGAACCACGTACAAACAATGTTTCTAAATTTAAACTGAACACTCTTGTGGTTTAGAAGACTTTTAGGAGGCCTCTTTTTTGTTTAACAACTTAAGGTAGAAAAGAAATCCTAGAGATAAGCGGACCAGGTTTAAGGAATGCCACATCAGGGCCAGACCTGGCAGTATGATCCAGGACTGGGGTCCTGTGGAAGAGACCTTAGTCATGCCCGGTATAGGCAAGGTTGTTTCAGGACTAAGACTAAGCTAAGCCTCTCTGTAGGAGAGAGGAGCAAAGGCTTAGACCATCCAGCTCCAGGATGAACTGACAGGGCAAGGGTCTTGCCAGCAAGGAGTTCCTGGGAATCAGGCTCCTTAGGTCACTTCAGACCCAACTAGACCTTCTCAGACTTGTTAGAACTCTAATTCCTAAACTCAGCATGGGACTAAGCCTGTCTCAAATGGAGGGAGGTACTAGCCTAGAACTCTCTATTCAGTGGGCCCCCTTAATGTCAGTTCTAGATGCTCCCTTGTCCCACCCTCCACACTCAAAAATTCAAGGCGCATCACTGAACACATTCTCCATCTGAGGATTCACTAGCAAAATTCTGAGTCCACTTAACATCAAGAGAGCCAAACAGCTAGAGGAGAAATGACCTTTCCAAGATCAGAAAATAATTAGGAAGATTTTGTTTTTGTAAGTACCAATCCTTTGATGAAAATGGAAGACTCGGTAAACCCACAGCCACAGACAATCTGAGTACTGTACAGCTCTCCGACTCTAGCTGGCACTTGTGCAAAATGTTGTCAACACTAGGGTAACCAGATAAGTGGGTATGAGCAGAGAGATAAGGCAATTTTTAGAAAAACTGGAAGCACATAACTTTTGATGCATTTGCTTTACCTTTATGTATCAAGGAAAGCCTATTTGTACCTGTGAGTATTCTCCTAAAACTTAGGATTCCTCCTAAGGAATCAGAGTTACCTGAGAAGCTCAAGACCTTCCTTGACTTTTTGTTTTAGTCAAACCAACTACAAAATTAAATGTTAAAACTAAGAAGCCACTCCAACATTTTCTCCAAATAATGTAATTTTCTTTCCAATATCAATTTTGTTTTCTTACTTTTTTCCATCAGGGACCACTGGAAGTAGCCCAAGTGTTCTTGGCTGAAATTCCAGCTGACCCAAAACTCTATCGACATCACAACAAGTTGAGGTTATGCTTTAAGGAATTCATAATGAGGTAAGAAATGGAAATGGGTGGGAATTTCAGTACAGCAGTGGCTCTCTAAATGTGTTCCCCATACCAGCATCATTATTATCACTTGAGAACCTACTAAAAAGATAAGATGGTGCTGGAGGTATAGCTTAATGGTAGAACACTTACCTAGCATGCACAAGACTCTGGGCTTAATCCCCAGCACTGCAAATATAGAAAGGGAGGCAGGGAGGGAGGGAGGGAAGGAAGGAAGGAAGGAAGAGGGGAAAGAAGGAGTCTCAGGCACCTCTCACCTACCCAATCCCATGGGGTGGGTTCCAGCAATTTCTGCATTAAAAGTTCTGCTGGGGACTAGGGTTGTGGTTCAGTGGTAGAGCGCTTGCCTAGCACATGTGAGGCACTGGGTCCAATCCTCATCACCACATAAAAATATATAAATAAAATTAAGTATTTTATTTTATTTTATTTTAAAAGTCCTGCTGGGTGATGCTGATGTGCACTGAAGTTTGAGAACCACTGCAGTAGAGCAGTACTACATCTACTACTCATAAGTAATTTATATTTGAACTGTGAAGTGCCACTTCATGTCTACAATCTCATGAATGGCTCACAATCACAGTGTAAGACAGGTACATCATCATCCTCATTTTACAAAAGAGGAATCAGAGGTTCAGAGATGGGATGTGATTTCACTTACAGTCACATAGCCAGTCAGCGGCTGAGTTCAAACCAGGTGTTCTGCATCTGAACAGTCCACATTTCCACCGATGTTCTGATAGTCCACTGATGCATTAGCGTTCCAGAAGTTCTTAGCATTGACAATTTTTGTAATTTCCCAAATCATAAATAACTTGTTTTTAAAAACCGAGAAAGAGATACTGCCTCAAATGGAGAGGTAAAGGTAAGGTTCTCAAGCTAGGATTTTGCAAAAGTGTCATCCTGAAGACACTTCCCCTTGTCACACAGGCCTCATCTCTGCTTCTGAATTCTGCAGTGGAACTGGCTTCCAGAGCAGCTGGGTCAGCCTGGACAGGAAGTAGGTCTTTGGGAAGTCTTGGAATCTCTTAGAATATAGACAGGTGTATTGCATCTCTGGGACCTTAAAAGAATTACTAGGAAGGATGTGATGGCATTTCACCTACAAGAGAAAAGGACGTCAGAAAAATGTATGCCAATGTTTCTTTTTATCTAGAATCTTAGAGCAGTAGTTGGGATTTGGATATGAAGTGTCCCCTAGGAGCTCCTGTATTAATGTAGGAATGTTCAAGGAGAAATGCTTGGATTAAGGGAACCATAACCTTATCACTCCATCTTAATTTGAATATGGACAAACTGGGTGATAACTCTAGGCAGGTGGGACATGGCTGGAGGAGGTGGGTCACTTGGAATGTGACCTGGAAGGGTTCATCTTCCCTGTGGCCCTTTTTCTCTTGCTCTCTCTGCTTCCTGGCTACCATGATATGAACCCTCACCTTGGGCCCAGAACAATGGGGTCAGCCAACCATAGACTAAACCTCTGAAACTATGAGCTCAAAATAAATCTTTCCTCCTCTAAATTGTTCTTGCCAGGTATTTTTGTCACAGAAACAAGAAGCTGACTAACACCATAGCATATAAAGGATAGGAATAAGCTTACTTGACAGAATGAGGAGAAAGGAGGCCAAAAGTTAAAGTTTGTTAAAGTCATTGAAAACTCATCAGGATGCTAGGGTTGGATGAGGTTGGAAATATGGCCTTCAAAGGTTGCAGTGGTCCAGGGCTCTCTGGACTTCTGAAGGGACCTGTGAAATCTTTAGTGAGTACTTTCTGTGACCCAGGTATGATATTAGGGGAACAAGAGCAGGGAGCATCTGTTCTTGATGATTGTCCACACCAAATAACAACACAAAGCAGCCTGCACTAAGAACTCTAAGTGTTCTAAATATAGGACTACAGAGATAAGAAAGGGCAGGTCCACTACAGAGTGGAATGATTAGAACAGGCTTTGTGGAAAAACACCACTTAAACCTTGTCTTGAATATCTGTTGGGAAGAAAAGGGTAGTGGGAAGAGGAAGCCATTACTGGTAATTGGACCATCATGACCGCAAGACTTGGAGTCAGGAATGCCAACGGTGCTTCTGGACTCCTCTCAGTCCTGCTAGAGCAGCATGTTCTTGAAAGCCTGCCAGGACAGGAAGCAAAGATCAGAGAGGCGACAATATTAGTAAATAGGACTTTGCGTACAGTTTAAATTTAAAGGGAAGCTTATTAGGGAAGAAGTGATTTTCCTTTTGCTTATAGTTCAAACTGATTTCCTGTACTACGTCTTCAATCTAATGTCTTGTGGGTGTGATCATCTCCAGGACTCCACCTGGTTAAATGTATCTAAGAAATCCTTATCGAACTCACATTCCTAATTAGCTCCCAGCCCCAGAAAAAGTTGCTACAAATGAAGCTGAGAAAACTAGTCTCAGGCAAGAGAAATAAAAGACAATGGGATTTTCTAGGAATGGTCCTTTAATGAAGTTATAATTTAGTTTTTGAGGATGTTATCTATCTTTCTCCCAACATGGCCTGCAAAAATGCTAAATTTGGGGCTGGGCACGGTGGCACAAGTCTGTAATCCCAGCAGCTTGGGAGGCTGAGGCAGGAGGATCTTGAGTTCAAAGCCAGCCTCAGCAACAGAAAGATGCTAATCAACTCAGTGAGACCCTGTCTCTAAATAAAATACAAAATAGGGCTGAGGATATGGCTCAGTGGTCAAGGGCCCCTGAGTTTAATCCCTGGTACTCCCTACCCTCAAAAAAGCTGATTTTTTAAAATTGAATTCACCATTTGAAATGCTATTCTCCACCCTTCTCAGTGATCATTCCCATCCTGATGAGACCAGACTGTAGGCCCACTTTCCTGGCTGCCCTTGGCCTGTGGCATTTTGTTCTGGGAATGCCAGGAGACCATCAGTGCTTCCCAAACTTCCCTGCACTTACACAGGACCTGGTCTTGTCAAAATATAGGTCCTGATTTAGTAGGTCTGAGACTGGGGCCTGAGACTGCACTTCTAATCAATTCCTAGGTGCTGATGCTACAGCTGGATAGAGGAGACTGAGTAAGAGAGGCTGTAGAGTTTGCTTGATTGCATCCCTTTCACATTTTTCCCCTCCCCCAGACCTAAACCCCTCAGGCCATCTCTGTTGTCATTGGCCTCTTTTACCTTCCCTATATTCCCTTCAAAAAAGTAAAAGTTCTCAAACTGCTACTCCTCCAACCAACATCAGCAAACCCTTAGCACAGCTTCCTGCCACATGTATGGGGAGACGAAGTCCCAATTCAAATGGGACAAGACGAAGCGGGGCTGGCACACGGTTGCCATGTTGTCTCAGGACAGCAATGATGACAAAGATGTTTCATTGTTTGACACAGAAGAGACAACTAATAGACCAAGAAAATCCAAAACCCGACATCCAGTGGCATCATTTCTCCATTTGTTCTTCTGAGTCAGTGCCATTATAGTCTATCTTCTCTGTGAATTGCTCAGCAGCAGCTTTATTGCCTGTATGGTGACGATTATCCTGTTGTTGTCATGTGACTTTGGGGCATGAAGAATGTCACAGGTAGACTGATGGTAGGCCTTCCGTGGTGGAATCATATTGATGATGATGGAAAGAATCATTGGGTGTTTGAGTCCAGAAAGGCATCTCCTCAGGAGAATAACACTATTTCAGAGGCTGAATCAAGAATCTCTTGGTTAAAACTAATTGCCTGTCCAGTGCTGTGGGTGATATTTGCCTTTAGTGCTCTCTTCTCCTTCAGAGTGAAATGGTTGGCTGTGGTTATCATGGGTGTGGTACTACAGAGTGCCAACCTGTGTGGTTACATCAGGTGCAAAGCGGGCAGCCGGAAGAATTTAACCAGCATGGCTATCTCGTATCTTAGAAAGCAGTTTTTAAAACAAAACACTGGAAATGAACAGAGAGAAAACTTATGTTCTCTGTGATATTGGGGAAGGGCAAAGAGATTCTTGATTATGAACTGTTTAGAGCTCAGTTCAGTTGCATAGAGGAACATTGTTTTTTTGTTTGTTTTGTTTTCACTTACAAAGTTACTATGAAAACTGTTTTCTTTTTTTAAACAAAGTTTTAATTTTCTTTTTCTAGTAGTTGAGGCTGGGAAGTATGATGATATCACTAGAAACATTGTCAGAATCTATTTTATGGTGTACATATGTATGCATATAGTAATGTATCAATATATCCCAAATTAATGTGTTAGGTTTACACATATTACAGAGATATTTGCATTTTGATCCATAGAATATAGGATATTCTTAGTCTATCTCAAAGGTATGTGTGTTTACATACTATTTCTGTAGATTATTTTCAGAAATAAGTTGATTCCATGATTAAGAATAAGCACTTGGCTTGTATATGAGTTAAAAAGTTAGAAAAAAAATGTTAATTTTAAATATATACTTCATGTTGAAATTGCTTACCTTAGACATGCACAAGTGAAAACCAAATTCAGGCTGGTAGTGTTAACTAGTTT